AGCATTCATTATTCTTTTTGTAAGATGCCAAATTGTTTTGGTGAGTTCGGCTATCATTCGAATGACCCGTGTATGAGTTAGTCAGAATGAGCTTATGTGGCACAGAATTGGACCAAGTTTGCTCTCTCGTTGCTCTTTTTAGATCTTATAAATTCCTTTTATTCCTGTTTCGTGTGTGTGTAAGTGTGCGTAAGTGTGTGTAAGAGAGAGAGAGAGAGAAAGAGAGAACTTCTTAAGGGTAATATAACATAGGGTGGCTTGTTTAGTTTTAAGAAATGATGAAAATGAAGCTCTATTTTTGAAATCCCCAAATAGATTACTCTTACGATGTATTTGTGTTTCAGGAGTTGTATGGTTTGATCTATGTATTTATTCAACCTTAAACATGCCTAGCTCCCTGTTGCACTTATTTGCCAATTACTTGCAGTACTCTTTATACTTTTTGTTTTAAATCTGTGGGGTTGTTTTGTCTTGTTGCATTTTTCTTTTGCTTGAAGATATATCTATTATTCAAATATAGAAGTGACTTAGGAAAGAACATCCAAAAGTTTATTTAGAAATTCACCAAGCCACATACTAATGCATCTCTAATGGGGACGTTTCTTTTCACACCTCTAAGGTGATTGAGCCTGTCCTTTAAAGTGAGATTTGCAAACCAGTGTCTGGCAGCTCCAATTAGCTTCTTTTGGGCTTGAAGCACATCACAAACAGTAACAAGGTCTCCTAGGACACTCCTCCTGCAAGCAATGTAGTCATATTTCCTCATTAGTTCTTTTCAATTGTCACTAATGCCAAGTTCCTGCTTTTGAGTAGGAGACAAAAAATGTAAAATTTGGTATGTATGTAGAATGGGCCATTGTTTTCCATAATTCAAGGCTCTTTTGAATTCCTTTGATAGTTTTGAAGCTTACACAGCTTAATTCATTAACCTTTACCCTTCACATAAATCAGGTGATTAGGAATCTATTGCTAAGGAGACAGATTTTCCCTCCACTGAAACTAAGTACTGCCTTCTCTTCTTAAAAAAAAAAAAATCCTATGTAGTTCACAAAAAGCAACCTTTTTGTTGCTTTTCAAATTTCATCAAATGTTTCAGGTACATTTTAGAATATCATCAAAATCAAGTGAGCATAAAATTACATTATTATAAAAAATAATTCTGAATGCTTTGGAACAGGTTTTCTGGCCCTTTTCAGTATTCTAAAGGAGTTTATATATATGTACTCAACAGCTGTTACTTAAGAATTTACAATGGTTGCAATTTTTAAAAAATTCTCTTCTGAACCCTGCCAAAACATAAAAGCAAGAAAATAATCCGAGGGAGGCAATTCAGAATAAACTAAAATATATTTAAATTAACCTAGGACATTTGATTTGGAGAAATTTTTCATATAGGCCCTCATTTTTAGAGAATGATGATGTGGGGCTCCTAAGAAGGTAGGTGGTGGTTCTGTGGTTCCATGAAGGTGAGACGAGAATGCATGTCTTCTGATTCTTTATTTCCTCCTGTTAAGACATGTCTCCCTTTATTTCCCAGAACTTGAAAGATGGTTTATTATTATTTATTAGTAGAAGTAGGCTTGTGTTTGATGTTCATGGACTACTTTAACAATATTTGCTATTCTGTGTTTTTCCACTATGCCATTTTATTATATTATGAATTTTACTTTATAATCTTGTAGATTGTTATTCTCCTTAGGATATAGTTCTTTCCCCAAACTTTATCATTCCTGAGGTTGTCATGTATGAATTGAGAAATCTTTAAATGTACTGACCCATCGAGAGTGTGGTCATATGGTATTCTGAGGTTTGTCTTTAGGGTTGGTGGGGACAGTGGTGGAGGGGAGAGTAGAATGGTTAAAACTTGAATTCTGGATTATGTATTTAGGAGCTCATTGCTTGCCCCTAGGGACAAAACTGTAATTTATGGCTGAGACTAATGAATATTCTCCGGTGTGATATCTATGGAGAGGGGATGGAGAAACAAAGGTTTTAAATGTGGTCTTTGGTTCTGTCACTCTTCTTCTCACTTACAGATAGATTATCACTTTGCAAATGTTTCTTCTTTATTAGGACTGTTTTAAACATACCCCTTTAAAAACTTGCTTTAATATGTGTAGCTTAAATCATTTTAAGTTTAAATAATTACTGAGGTTTAATTTAAATAATTACTAAGCTTTACTACCTTGTTTTTTGCCTCCATACAATCTATTTAGTGAACTGGGAAATGCTCTTATGTTAATACACTCAAGGTCATGACTAGAGCCAAGAGTCTTTTAAAACAGAATAGAATTATTTAGAAGAAACGTGGGCCACAGACTCGTGTTATGTTAGGGTACTTCCCATGAGTGTATTATAGAATGGTGTCTAAAAGTTTCCTAAAGAAAGGACAGTCATCACCCACGGTCTCTCATCATGACCTGCTATCAGCATAGGCTGCCCGGGAAACTAGACCTAGACTAATCACAGGGCTGCAGGCACCAGCCAGGGAACCGATGTGGGGTTCCGTTTCCATCAATTGCAGTGAGAGAATAATGCAAACCACTTCCATTTTTAACTCTCAAAACAATAGTTATTTTAACTATTTATTTAAACCACTCAATTTTGTGTTTTAATATTATATTAAGAGTTTCAATCCAGATTCACAGAACTTGGAGATTCTCCAAATATCACATCTGTAAGTGATGTGATCTTTAAATTTAAAAAAATTAAATTTCAGAAGTTATGTTGTGCATAACTTCTAGTACACTGTAATTAAAAGTGTTTAGAAAACTATGTAACTGAGCTTTCAAAAACAACAAATATCCTAAGTGATCCTTTGTAAAAGCAAAGTGCTTTTCTCTTATATTCCCCACCCCCACCCCCTCCGCCCCCTCTTGGTCTAAAAGATACTTATTGCTTACTTCTAATCATGTGTTATCTCTCGGCTGTTGCCTCTTGAGTGCGTAAGCTAAATATATTTGTGATATCTATCAACAATAACTTTTCTCTGTCATATAGGGAGGAAACCTAATGTTCGTGGCCTTTCATCAGTTTTAGGACAGTTTTCATCCAGTGATTTATTATCCTGTTTATATGAATACTGGTTCTTGTTGCCTATGAAATAGCATTTGATCTGGCTTGTGCAGCAAAATCAATATGTATTATTTGCTGTTTTTAGTCTGCTCTGTGTGTCTTTAATGTTCATATGTGCTTGTAGCGTATCTAATATAGAATCAAATGGCAGGAACTCAAATAGGATATTGCATTTGTTTAGAGTTTTTTCATAATCAAATATAAAATCAGGCATTTTGAACTATTTGAAAAGAGCATTATAAAAAAATAAATGATATAAACATTTCTGTACTAATGTACTTCATTTTGTGATGATCATACAAAATGTTGAATCTGCTAACTTTTTCGGTAGGTGATGGAGGACAGTGAGATATGTATCTTTGATATGATAGAAAGTAGTCAGACTTTATTTTTAACTATTTAAGATTTGTAATCATCTATGGCTTTCATTTTTATCCTTAGCATGTGAAAATTATTTTTCACATGCTAAAACTAATGGTCATTGCTTGTAATGTTTCATTTCTGCTTTTATCCTTTTTAATGAGTTTATTCAAAAGTTACATCAAAGCCAAATGACATGAAATTAGGTTTTTAAATTTATCTTCATAATAAACTGTATCAATCATAGTCACGTTGCGTTAATGTTTTAAGTTTTGTTTTGTAGCCATGGAAGACCTTATCAATTTTTATCATAAATGTTTTTTTAAATAGCCAAAAATGAATGTGTACTCAGTTATTCTGAGGAACTTTGAAATGTTTATCATTCCATTAAAACTATATTCCATGAAAACAATTTAAAAGAAAAATATGCTTTTTCTATAACTAACTTAACCTTCAATAATGAATTATGTGAAGTGAATTGTTTAAAATATCTTGACATTTTATGAAGATACCTACAAATAAGCCAGACAGCAAATAAAATATCTGAAAGACAGAGATGGATACTCAGTAATTTTTTGATGGATTATACACATAGGTATCAAATTACTTGATTCTTACTTCCTAGAAAAGGTTAATGACTCTTTTTGCTTTTACCCTTTTGCTTAACCGTTATTTATAAAGATTAAAACAGGAACTGCACTGAAGGATGCATATGCCTATGTGTCACTATGACTGTACAGTTTTTCTGATATTATAGGGGCCTGAGCCACAAAATGGACTATGTTGTTAATCATTATTTTTAAAGTTCATTCAATTTTGCACTACATGTTCCACTAGGGCTATTAGAGCAGAGTGCACCATTCGAAAACCTTTTAACTTAAACCAGAAAAGACTATAAATCTTACATATCTCTGTCTATATTATTAAAATGTCCTGCACCTATGCAATAATTCATTTAAAATATTAAGAATAAAACATTTTAAAGTAAAAGATTTTAAAGTTCTTATGTGTGCAGATTTTTCCTTCTATAATCAATATGTTATAGATTTTTAAAACATTTATATTTTATGTTAAATAAAATTATGTCAAAAAAATGCATGTTTCAGTGTTATCAAACCTCATATTAATAATTGAGCTATGAGCAGCAATATTACTATCCACCTATAATGATCATCCATCTATATTCTCCAGTTTCATTATCATTACTTTATACTATTTTATTGTATAAATGACATATGATTATTATATAGCATATATTTACTAGTCTTTTACTACCAAATGTAACATTACTCATAAAAGAATATCTCTTTCTTCATTGCTTTGGTTTTAAAAGATGCACCAGTCATAAATGTATTTAATTAAAGCCATTTACATATTAGAGCACCTGAGTTTAAACCAGGGAATATAATACCTATTCCTGAAACACCTTGAAAGAGATTTGTTGAAAGAAGAGAGCTGTGGCATTCATCGTATGCTGACCTCTTCCTCTTATAATCGTGGCCAAACTCTTGCTAATTTAACTTGAAACACATTAGTGTAACTCACCACTTTTTTGTGTGTTTCAGGTGTGTGGAGGTCATTGCAAAGGAAGGACAAAACCTGAAAGAGCTGTATTTGGTATCCTGTAAAATCACAGATTATGGTATGTAATGAGCCATTGCTCTAATCCTTTTCATGAATAAAAAGTTACAAAATCTTTGACAGATTTTTAAAAGAAATCAAGAGCAGTATCTCGTAGAGACTTTTTATCTTTATCTGTGCTAACTCTGATCATAACTAAAATCAAAAAGGTTAAGAAATCATGAGGCTAAGAACCAGAGTAAAATTAATTCCATGCGCAATCACACACACATGTGCACACACACACACACACACACACACACACAGGATTAAAGAGTATGGCTAAAAGCTATACAGTGAAAATAAATATCAGAATGATTAAATATTTGATATAATAAATATAATTAAAGAAATTATCGCATTGAGTTGATTTGCTTAATTTAGTGTCATGTTAAGTGCACTCCTGCTGACATTCCAAATGCCAACCTTCTTAAACCAGGGAAGCTTCCATGTTTAGATGTATGGGAAGGAAAGGGTATACATTTGTATGCAAAAGTTTTAATTATCTTAAATTTCAGTATCCTTTAAAGTGGAGAAAAGCAAGTTGTTATATAAAAATATGAAACGTTTAAAATCATCCTGTTGAAGAAATAAAGAAAAATAACCTAGCCTTTCCTTTTTTGTTCAGTTTTATATTTTTTGGAATTAATTTGTGTATATAATCTAAATGTAGAGTTTTTGCCAGATATTTGGCTTTATGAGAGACCGAAATGCTTTCCTTTTCTCTCTTCTGATTTTTTAATTTGTTCATTTATACTTGAGAATATGCTCTCTACCTTAGGCAAACTAATAATACATTAAGTTTTTATTGTTGACTCTGACATGCTAATAAATGACTCCAATCCCAGGGTGTCATGCTGACCATCTGCCCTCGGTGGATGAGTTGCATTTTACCAGCTACTAAATTCATCCTTTGAAAAAACTCTACTAAAGCAATAATAGAAAATAACGTTAAAAAAGATTTGGCTTAAAAATAACCGTAATTTCTTTTCAGAGTTTATTTTTTGAGAATGGTAAATGTGTCTTATGTGAATTTATCCATAATGTTTCTGGGTTGTTGGTTTTTTCCTAATTATATCATGTAAAAGGAGTGTTTTGATATGTTTTTCTTTCCTTGTAGTTTGTTTTTTGGTTTGGCGTATTAGATTACCACTTAGACACAGTAACTCTAAAACCTCCACTATCTCCCCATTATCTTGGCCTTAGAGGATTTTCTCTGTCCAACACAGGGCGTGTGCTCAGTACATAGAGATCTGTTAATTAACTAGTACATTTAAAACTCTTTACTTGGCATTCAAGGTCTTTTAACATTAGTCCTCCACCTGCCCCCTCCCCAGTCCTATTTCATATTTCTTCCCTTTACCTATTCTCTGCTAATGTCAGATTGCTAATACCCAGGAGAGCTATGGATTAAGTTTTTTAGAATGAACTCTTCGAGGTCCTGCAGTGGAAAATATTCTTGAAATTACACTTTGTTCCAGCACCTGTTAAGTTAGCCAGTGCAATGAAATGTTCCAGAAGATATGGAGAAGAGAAAAAGCTTTGCACTTTGAGACAGATCTGGGGTCAAGTTCTATCTCTGCTCTTTGTTTTTTGGCCTTACAGAAGGGAAGTTCCTTCACATCTCTGAGGCTCAGTTTCCTCATTTGTAAAATGGGGAATTGATGTCTGACTTCATGCTTCTTTGTGTACTCGGCATCCAGTTTAGTTAGCACAGTGTATACTTCTAATAATTGTTGCTTTCCTGCAGAAGGGGGACAGAGGAAAGATTCACACAAAATTCTTCTACCTTCTTTCTTTTCATAGGTCTCAGAGATGTTTTTGTTTTGTTGTTGTTGCTATTGTTTATTGTTACTGTTTAGTGATAGTCTCATATTCTGGTATTTTGAGATTTTAGAATTTTTTTTCTGTTGATGTGAAAACTATATTAAAACCTTGCCAGTATGGTTTACATTTATTCGTATCTCTGAATCATTTAGGCCTGTGGTTCTCTGCACATTAGAATCACCTGGGAAGTTTTGCAAGCATACAGATAGATGCCTGTGCCTTACTCGAGAGTCAGAATTTCTGAATAGGTGGAGCCCAGGCAATGATTTTGTAAAACCTGCCTCGGTCATAACATAAACCAAGGTTGAGAACAACTGATGTAATTCAGTTGAGGGAACCAGAATTTAGCATTTTGGGAACTTCGCCCCATGATGACAAGAAATCTATCATGATTTTCTTCATACCTTAGTCCTTCCAGTTTTCAAGCTCTCTGCCCTACTTTGTCTCCTCCCGAGGTTTTAGATATTCCGAGGGTTCATGGTGAAAGTCTCAGTGCATCTCTTGGTTCTGTTCTTCAGAATGTTGAGAATGAGGGGAAAAGGTCAATAGTTTATGAGAGTTTAATATAATTGCTATTTGGTTATAAAATTTAAACAAATTACTGAAAGCTGGCTCAGCTCATCTCTTTTTTTTCTAGTTTCATGCCAATAACACATGAATAATTTTTGTCAAAAAGACAGCAAAAAGGATTATTCATTGTATCCAGAGAAACAGCGTGTTATTGTAGGTTACTGCTCTGTTAGGAGAGGCTGTCAGCAATCCCTTACCCTATGTTAATTATAAATTTTAAGAAGGAAAAACAGATGCCTTTTTCTTCCTTAACTGGATAAATAGAGACATATTCTATAGAACTTTTTTGATTATTGAGGCTACTTAGAAATTGTCAAATTTGGTGTACACCTGATACTAGGAGAATTCCATCCTTAAAGAGACTATTCTCTAATTCTGCTCCCTACTCACATTCCAGCTAGTTAGTCTCCTCTTCTCCTCCTCTCTTCGTGGTACATGTTTGTGCATGTTTTCAGTACAGTATACTGAGATTTTTGAAGTTTTTTGTAGGATGTATTAATTCAGAAACAGCAGCTTGCCTGGCATAGCATTTCTAATTTTTGTTAAGATTCTCACAGATGTTAAATGTGATATTATAATACTGAGCAACACCTGGCCAGGCTGTTATGAAGTTATGTTCATTTTAATTTGTATATGATATAGTTGCTGTGAAGAAAACTATCATTCTAATAGTCTTCTTATTCCCCAAGTTGAACATAGATATTTATGGTAAAGGATAGCAATTATAAACAAATCAATAATTCAGGCACAGCTAAATAGAAAATACAATTTTGAGAAATTGCTCCCTGAAGAGAAGTCTAATATTGTCACTCTTCTATCACTGAACAAATATATGTTAGAGTCAGTATATTGGGAAAAACCTCAAACGTAAGAGTCAGAGATGAAGTTAGAATTCCAGCTTTGCCTCTTCTTCTCTTTGAGACCTTGGGCAAATTACTTAACTTCCTAGTTTTGTCATCTGTTAAGCACATGATAATACCATTAAGGTAGTGCAAATGAATATGCAAAATCTGTGTTAATCCTGGTGGCATAGTGGATACTCATACCAGTCGGCAGTTCTTATAATAGAACCATTTCTTTTTTGAAGAAGAAGAATCAGCCTTCCTCCTCCCACAATTATGGCTTTTCTGTTTATGGGACTCATTATTTAGGAGTTTGACCTATATTAGACTATACCTGCCTAATTGACTTTCATACCTAAGCTATCTAAATCAGGTTCTTATTGGTAGGGAATAAAGAGAAAGCGATATCAAAAAAGTTTAAAATATTTAATTCGCTATGTTAGATTTCTACCCTATCTTTTGTGTGTGTTACTTTTTTTTTTTTTTTAAACAAAATGAGCTTTTATTAAACAAAGCTGGAGACATGTATTAGTTAGCAAGGCTGGAGTTACAAAGAGATCCAAATAATACTAAGGTTAAACAAGAAAGAATTTTGTTTTCCCTTATGTAAGAGTCCAGAAGTAAATGATTTGTCCAGGGTGGTAACATTGATCCATGTGGTCATTCCGGCATCTAGGCTAGTGAAATGTCTTCCATCTTTATCACGTGGCTTTCCTGTCTAAGCCTAAGGTGGCAGCTCCATTTATTACCACTTCCTGTAGTGGGAAAGAGGAAAAAGTAGAAGATAGTTTCTACATGCAAATATGAACCTAAATTTGTATACCTTTCATTTTCGTTTGGGTAATTTTCTCTTGGCTCCCCTTACATTTTTCTTTGTTCTTATGATAATTTGTCAGTGAATAGTGTCCAACCACTCTCCATCAAACATTTTTCTGTTGAAAATTTCCCTCCTTTGGAAAAGTGTATCTTTATGATTAAAAGGAATGAAAGAAGTAGAAATCAACCTGTGTTATTTAAGCTTAGAGAGGCCAGAACCAGTCTTTCTCTTGGGCTACAGGGCATAGAACATGTGGTGCAATAAATTAGATGGATGAATAAAGCACTTAGCTCCAGTAGTGTCTCCATAGTGAATTTTACCAGTGTGACCCTGTGTCAAGAGTCCTTTATTAAAAGGACCCAGGTTTCTTTCTGGGTTGTTAACACATTTCTTTTGACTTTAGCACCCTTCAGCACCCTAGAACACCATAGAAGATATCTTTTTGTTTCCCTGCTCAAGTTGTCAAATAACCTTTAATTAAAGAGGACTGTAAATGCTCAACTACAGATACTGGAGTTTGGGGCCTACAAGGTCACTAATAACCCACAGGTTCACCCTATGTCTCTCTACATGCTCTCTGTCACTTCCACAGGCCCTGGGGCTGCTCTCTCTGTACAGTCTTTGGCTGCACCTTGTTCTCCTTGGTCCCAATGCTCTTCTGCTGGATCTGGGACTTTTAAACCTAACCCAAAGCTTGCCACAAAAGCTTTTGGATTACTCTGGACAAAAGGTCTCCCAAATCAAGGAGGTTTTTGTCCCCATGATTATCATTTAAGATGTCAATTTCAATTGGCCTGACATTCATTCTGTCGATAAATATTGATTCAGCACCTACTATGTGCTGGGCTCTGTGGTATATGCAGGACATGAATAGTTTCTGTATTCCCGGAACTTTCATTCTGGTGGGATAGAGAGGGACAGGGTTAGCCTGCTTATT